TAATAGCATTGTTTCTAAAAATTGTTCTTAAAGAACTCCTCATCCTCTTGATTATCTAATATCTCCTCTCGACCTTCGTTTTCTATTTTTTAACTACAAAAAGTGCAAAACATATTAGACCACCCATTCAAGTTTAACACTTTAGTGTAAGGTTCAGAATAATTAAATTTGTATATCTTAATGATTCGTAACTGGCAACATAGTACACAATATATAATTGTAGTGAATATAAAATTGTATGTGCATTTATTAGTAGCTAAATTAAACTTGTACCTTATATAAAAGATGAGTTATTGGGGTCCAAGTTGTTGTTGTTGCAAAGGTTGTTGCTGGTTCACACTTCACTGCTAAGAGAAGCCATGCTACTCTACATTAGGCTCGTTAACAATGTGAGATTGTTCTAGAGTTTAACTTTAGTGATACATAAAGCTGTTAGGGTTTTGCCCTGATTTTCTTACCATAATTTAAGATTTATTTTTTCTTAAAGAAAAGACAAAACATTACCATAAATGTTTTTACTTTTCTTGAAAGAAAAATATAATATTCTTTCATATTTGGTTTATTCTTTCCTTTTAGGAAAATATTTTGGAGCAGCTAGTCCTTTTCTAGTAAGAAAAGGTTTTAGGACTCTATAAATATAGGTTTGTTTCTTCTAACACAATAACAATAACATCCACAATGTAATCGTTTAGAGACTTTTGTTTGTGGGGAGATTTATTCTCTCTAAAGTTTCAATGTTTTTTTTATATTAGTTTTGATATAATAATATTTTGATTTTTAGTATAAATTTTTGTTATCTATTTATCAACTATATAATTTGCAAATTGTAAGCTTCCGCATGACGCCCTAATTCACCTTCATAACCCAACAAAAGCCACATAGGATCTGAGGCTTGGGCAACATAAAAGACTTGAGAAAACAAAAGGGAGAACTGTTTAATTTGTTATGCATCTATTAAAAACTTCTATCATATTTTGCTAAAAAGAACCTAAACATTGTACTTCTTTTTTTCAAATAAATAAATCACATTCACAAATTTTATCCCTCCATGCCACAAATCACAAGTGATCCATAAACTTAACTGAAGTTCCAAGATCAGTTCTATATTAATCAAGAGTGATGTCTTAAATGGAGCAATATGGTCAATGAAGATTTATATAGCTAATCCCAACTTAATTGAAATTGTGATGTCATAGTTCTTGTTGCTAGTTTAGACTTAAAGTCCAAAAATAATTCACAAGTTAACAAAATATGAAATTGTATTACATTATCTCTTATCTACAACACAAATTCAAAAGAACGACTAGCTTTAATAAAGAAATTAAGCTTTTTGCTTCTCCATGGCAACATCTTCGATATATCTCTCCATGAATTTGAGATTCACACATTCATGGATCTGAAAGCATCTAATTTGGTCAGATCTATGTAGGAATCTTATTATTCAGACTCTTTTCAAAACGCTAACTATTTCCCGTAAAGCTCAAACAACATGAATGCGACTTAAAATATCGAAGGGAGTTATTCATACTCAAGCAAATGAATGAATGCAAATGAACCATTTTGCAGAGTTCAAGGGTACATTTGGATCGATTAAGAGTGACAACTAAATATATATAGGGAGATTTGTTGAAGGAAGCTTGAAGACGGATGGAACATGTCGAAGGAACAGGTCCATCGAAGCAGGCTGACGAGTTATAGTTAGAGTCATACTAGAACTAGACTATTAAATCTTAAGTTATGTACGACTAAGCTACTGTATATTGTAGGAGTCAACTAGGATAAGGTATTTGAGTTATAATATAACACTACTCATGTAAATAATTATGTCGTAGTAGGATTCCTAGTATAACTAGAATAAGACTCTTCTCTTATATAAGGAGCTTGTAACTCAACATTATAATCATCAATACAATCCTTGATTTCTCTAATCTTAGACGTGAGATTCCTACATGGTATTAGAGCAATACAGTTTTTCCGCTCTTTAATGTATTAGATCAAAACCAAAACAACCACATTATCAAACCACAATGGCCCCTTCTACTAACATTCTTTCGACTTCTTCACTTCATCATCTTATATCGTCCTGCTCCATTAAACTTAAGTCAACGAACTATCTTATATGGAGGACACAAATGTCTCAGTTGATTCAAGTGATGGGATTAACCTACTTTATCACCGAACCACCTAAAGGTACCTGTTCTACTAGAAAGACTACCGAGAAAACTGTAGCAGGCGAGAAGGGTGCAAAAGACAGCAACATTGTTGATGACTGAGAGGAGAAAGATGTGTTACTAAGGAGTTGGATTTCAAGCACCTTGACAGAAGAAAGCATGTACATGATCGTAGGTTGCTCAACTACCAAGGAAATGTAGAAATGCTTGGAATAAGCTTATCTTCAAGCAACAAAAGATAAAGAGTTCCATTTCAAGCAACAACGGCAAAGTGTGAAGCTAGGAACCAAAACAATTTACGAATACATTAAGGAATTTAAAGGCATATTGATGGCCTTGCAACCATTCACAAGCATGTAGATGAAGATAGCAAAATGATTAATTTTGCTAGAGGTCTAGGTCCTAAGTACAAGACCTTCAGGACTGTCATGCTAGGTAAGACATTATATCTTACTCTTAATCAGTTTGTTAATGCTCTCAGGGGTTTTGATATGAGGGAGAATGAAGAAAAAGTGCCCCAACAAAGAAGGGGAAACAATAACTTCAATTCCAGAGGAAGATGCTTCAAGCCTGCTAGACAAGGAACAAGTTCTTATAACATCAAAAACTGACCATGTCATCATAATAGTCCTTTAAGTGAAAGTTATGAGAGGAACAACATTGATGCGTGTCAAATTTGTGGTAGGAATAACCATACTGCTGTTAAGTGTTTTTACAGGTGGGATTACTCTTACCAAGCCAAATATAAGCTACCACAAACATTAGCTGCTACTAATCTATAAAACACTACTGATGACACCTTGTATGTGGACTCATGATTGCAAGTAGCCATATTACACATAACTCAGGTATCCTATATCCTAACTGATCTTAAACACTACAATGGACCAGATAAAATCATTATTGGGAATGGATCAAAGTTAGAAATAACACGTGTTGTGAACATATCCGGAACAGGTCTAAAGTTAAAAGAAGTTCTTGTAGTTCCTAAGATCAATAAAAATTTACTCTCAGTTAGTAAGCTTGCAAAGAATAATTGTTACACTCTTGAATTTGATGAAACTAACTTTGTTGTAAAGGACAAGAGGACAAGGACACTGCTGGACAAAGGATCTAAAAGGAATGGACTCTATGCTTTGGAAGATAACAATCTCTATGCTTTAACTGCTTCACACGACTGGAACACGTCAGACAACATGTGGCACACTAGATTAGGACACCCTAGTTTGAAGTCTTTAAAAGTTTCGAGTAGTAATAGTTGCATCAATATTAGTAGTTGGAATAAAGTGCCTATTGTTTGTTCTAGTTGTCAGTTGGGAAAGAGTTGTAAACTTTCATTTGGTTTGAGAAATAAAATTGAGAAAGAACCTTTATTGAAAATTCATTGTGACTTATGGGGACCTGCTCCTTTCGAATCTTCCCAACATATGAAATATTATGTCATTTTTGTTGATGATCACACAAGATATACATGGATTTATCCACTGAAAAAGAAATCTAAATTCTTTGAGGTCTTTCTAAAATTCCAGAAAATGGTGGAAAAACAATTTTCTAAAGAGATTAAGATTTTTCAGTGTGATGGAGGTGGTGAGTTTATCCAAATAGACTTCATTAAGCATTTGGAAGATTGTGGTATTGTGAGACATATTTCATGTCCTAACACACCTAAACAAAATGAAGTTGCACAGAGAAAACATAGGCATATTATGGAGATTGGCCTAACTCTACTACTTCATGCTAACCTACCTTTGTTTCTTTGGGTTGAGGCTTTCCTCACCGCAATATTCCTCATCAATAGACTGTCTTCCTCAGTCCTAAAGATGGTGGCTCCATTTGTTAAGTTGTATGGGGAACAACCTGATTACAACAGCCTAAAAGTGTTTGGGTGTAAATGTTTTTCATATATCAAGGGTAGCAACAAGTTCAGTCCAAAGACCTACCCTTGTGTGTTCATAGGGTACAACAACTTACACAAAGGATATAGATGTCATCCCTCTACAAGGAGGGTTTACATATCCAGACATGTTGTGTTTGATGAAAACACATTACCCTATATGTCTCCAAAGCAATCTCAGACTAACATTGATGTCTCACCTCATCTTGCTACCTTTGTTGAATCTTTCTCTAAACTGTAGGCACATGATAATTCTAATTCAGGGGAAGTACAAGCTGCGAGTCCACACATTAATAGTGATAATGTTGCTACACCTCATATACTCCTTGATGATGAGAGTACTATTGACCTCACAGGCGCAAGATCAGATGCTGAGAAACAGGTTGAAGGTGATGATCCATACAGTAGTATTGAAACTCCAGCTGCAGATTTTAGATCTGCTAGTAGCAGTGAGGAACATGTTGCACTTATAGGTCCAGGGATTGAACATCATCAAACAACTACTTTAGTTGATGTACCAGTTGACCATCAATCTGACAATGCTACACTCCAGTCAACTATTTTGGTTGATGTACCAGTTGAGGTACTTCCTGCACCACAAGGGCATCATATGATCACCAGGCACAAGGCGAAGGAACATTATTTGTCACTTGTTGCTCACAACAGCACAAATATGTTAAGAGAACCAAATACTACTATGGAAGCTTAAGGGTCACCTCATTGGCTTGCAGCAATGCAGGAAGAAATTGATGCTTTACATACTAACAAGACATGGATTTTGGTGCCCAAATCTAATGGTATAAACTTGGTTGGCTCAAAATGGGTGTTCAAGACAAAATTAAAAGCTGATGGGACAGTAGATAGATACAAGGCTAGACTTGTGGCAAGAAGATTCTCGTAGCTTGAAGGGATAGATTTTGAAGAAACATTTAGTCATGTGGTTAAAGCCACAACTATTAGAGTGGTTCTATCTATTGTTGTCAGTTCAAAGTGGGAAGTTAGACAACTGGATGTCAAAAATGCCTTTCTCCATGGCTTCCTATAAGATGAGTCAACCTCCTGATTTTATTGATCCCCAATATCCTCAGCATGTGCGTTTACTTAAAAAGTCATTGTATGATCTTAAACAAGCACTAAGAGCCTGGTTTGATAGGTTTAGCATGCATCTCTTACACCTTGGTTTCATTTGTAGTAAGACTGACCCTTCCTTATTTACTTTGCAAACTCACAAAGGAAAAATATTTCTTTTGTTATATGTGGATGATATTATTGTCACAGGAAGTAATCCATCTCATGTCTCAGAGTTAGTTCTACAACTTGGGAATGAGTTTGCTATGAAAGATTTTGGCCCTTTACACTTCTTTCTAGGAGTTGAGATGAAGTATTTCGAAGGAGGAATTCACTTAAATCAAAACAAGTATGATGCTGAGCTGCTGACCAAGACAGAGATGACTTTGGCAAAGGTTGTATTCACTCCTTTGGCTCAAAAACACGGTCTGCATGAAGTTGTGGGAAGTCTTGTAAATGCCTCATTGTACATAATGATAGTAGGGAGCCTTCGGTATTTGACCCTCACAAGACCTGATATCACTCATGCTGTGAATCTAGCAAGCCAGTTTATGCAAAGCCTAAACATTGAACATCTTCAAGGGGTAAAAATGATTCTCAGGTACATTAAAGGTACTCTACACTTTGGACTCAGAATTATTTCACAATCACCATGTACGTTGTATGTCTACTCAGATGCTGATCGGGGAGGTTGTACCAGCACTAGGAGATCAACTACAGGCTATAGCATCTACCTAGGTGCAAATTGTTTTTCTTGGACCTCCAAGAAACAGACCACAATAGCCCGATCGAGTGCTGAAGATGAGTATAGAACACTAGCCTCCACTGCCGCAGAAATGACTTGGATTTTGTATCCTCTTCATGACCTTGGAGTGTTCCTTCGATCTGTTCATACGTTGTATTGTGATAACATGAGTGCCTTGTACATGACGGTTAATCCAGTTATGCATGCTAGAACCAACATGTTAAAATGGACTATCATTTTGTTCGTGAGAAAGTAGCCTGGGGACAACTTCTTACTCAGTTTGTGAAGTCTAAGGATCAACTAGCTGATATTCATACCAAAACCTTAACAAAACAGGTTTTTTCTGGTTTTCGCAGCAAGCTAGGAGCTATAGGTCCTCTACTCACTAGCTTGAGGGGAAGTGTTGAAGGAAGTTTGAAGACTGATGGGACATGTTGAAGGAACATGTCCATTGAAGCAGGCTGACGAGTTAGAGTTCGAGTCATACTAGGACTAGATTACTAAATCCTAAGTTATGTACGACTAAGCTATCGTATATTGTAGGAGTCGACTAAGATAAGGTATTTGAGTTATAATATAACACTACTCATGTAAATAATTGTGTTGTAGTAGGATTCCTAGTGTAACTAGAATATGACTCTTCTTCTATATAAGGAGCTTGTAACTCAACATTATAATCATCAATACAATCCTTGATTTCTCTAATCCTAAACGTGAGATTTCTACAAGATTGACTACAATTTTAGAAATTTGTCGACTTTTTTTCTTTAGTATTATAGAATGGGAATTGTTTCTAATAGTACAATGTAACTTTACACCTAAATATTATCTCATCACCGAAAGCATCCTATAAAATAAGAGTCGGTTACCGATCGGTAGATCATCTTCACAACCGCTTAAACTTGCCAGATAAGTATAAGTTGGCTGTCCACCGCCTTTTTCATGATCGAGATGGTTTGACGACAAAAAGTAGATATAAAAAAAGAGAAAACACATTAATTTTTTATTTATCTGTCATCAATAACCACAACACGTTCATTTTAAGTTCCGTAACAATTTTTTATGCCAATCAACCTTTAATTATTTTTCATCGACCAACTAAAAAATTATGATAGTTAGTTACTGTTATTGTTTCTTTCTTTCAATATAGTATATAATGCTTTTCTTATTATTTGTCATCGTATTTTCACTTGCGTAGTTTTTATGTTCAAAACTATCCAATCCTGAAAATTGCTCTTTTATTCTTCATTTAAATCAAAAGTCTATCAGAAATAAGTCTCCGTGTTCACAAGTAAAAAAATAAAATTTGCATAGCATACATACTATTATTTTCAAATTAAATAAATTTGATTTAAAAGACGCTAATTGATTTTGAATCAAACTATTAACACAAAACATGAATTTAAAAATAAATCATTTGCAAAATATGGACATTTTCTCCCATTTGGTATTTCATGTGACTGTGAGCAGAAACTTAGGGCAATAATTTCCAGGTGGTCAAACAGGGCAAGCGAAAAAAAGCCAAATCTCAAAATTACACCCCCAAAAGGCGCAGATAAAATAATCGTTCACTCGAACAAAATCCTTCTCTCTCTCTCCTCTTTCGTCCGGGCGATCTCTCTGTATTTCATCGTCGAAGGTATGAATTTCTCTGCTTTTGTTCACTTCGCAATCCTCGCCGGAACTTCGTTTTGTTTTTTCATTCTATAATTAAGTATGCTTTTTGTTGTGCGTATGAACTCAGCAGATATGTCTTCTTTGTGGTAGATCAATCTTATGAAATGAGGCGTAGTTGATTGTGTGAAAGGTTGAATTCATGTGTTTTTTCTGTTTATTGGTGAGGTTTTAGTGATATAATTATGTTTGATTTTGTGTGCGTATGAACTCAGCAGATATGTGTCTTAGTGGTAGATCAATCTTATGAAATGAGGCGTAGTTGATTGTGTGAAAGGTTAAATTCATGTGTTTTTTCTGTTTATTGGTGATGTTTTAATGATATAATTATGTATGATTTTGTGTGCGTATGAACTCAGCACATATGTGTTTTTGGTGGTAGATCAATCTTATGAAATGAGGAGTTAATATTTTAAAGGGAGAAGTACTGAAAGCATTTCTGAACTTGCGCAATTATTAGTTTCATTTTCGAACTATTGACAGCCTTAAAAGCATTCCTCTGCTTGACTAATAAACTTAGATATACCTTCAATATACCTATGATCTACCACATGACATAACAAGTGGTCTCAAACTCTTGTAAGAGTATGGAGCTCGTAATGAAAAGCCTAGAGAAGTGTTGAGAACACCCCTAAACTTGGTGAGAATTTAGGGGTGTATTCCACTCATGTTGCAAGTTTGAGGGTGTATTTAAGTTCAATTAATCAAGTAAATCAAGTAAATGAGTGTTTTTAAGGCTGTCATTAGTTCGTGGATGAAATTAATAATTCATGCCGAATTTAGGGATGTTTTCAATACTTTTCTCTATCTTAAAACGTCATTGAATTATGAGAAATCGTGTAACAAAGTCATTGAACTTTGTTTTATATCAATAAAATCTGTCAACTTAAAGATTTTATCTTCAAAAACCACTCAACTGCATTTATCATTAAAATAAATTTAACATGAAAAAATAATATATATTTTTATGTATATAATTATGAACCCCATGAATAAATAAAATTATAAAATCTATTTATTATTATACCCAAACCCACCCACAAATTGGGTTCATCTTAAAACTAAATATGTATGTGATTGTGTTACAAGTAGTCAACAGAACAACTTCAACTTTCTCTGTTATGATTCAAGGAACACAGTTCACGAATTGCTCGAGGCCATTGTGTTTCCGGGATAGAAATTTTTTGCCGCACTTCAAACTGGTGCCGTATGAATGTTAATTGAATCACAGAACTCTAGCTGAAATACCATAACTTCCAAGTAAAATTAGAACCTCAATCCTCACAATTTGAAACCTCAATACCACATATTATATTTATAGTTCAATCAAAGCCATAGATTTAGCTGTAGTCATTACTAAACCTCAATCCCCAATTAGCTAGTAGATGATATAGAGGAAGCTGCTGTATTTAGTCTTTAGATGAATTCAGTTTGTGGGTGGATCGAGTATGATGATAAATAGATTTCATAATTTTATTTATTTACGGGGTTCATAATTATATACATAAAAAATATTGTATTTTGCCATGTTAAATTTATTGTAATGATAAATGTAGTTGAGTGATTTTTGAAGATAAAACCCAAGTTGAGTGATTTTATTGATATAAAACAAAGTTAAATGACTTTGTTAGATAATTTCTCAGACCTTTTAAGATATTAACTCTGAAACGAGGCGTAGTTGAACGTGTGGAAGGTTAAATTCATGTGTTTTCCTGTTTATTTCATGCTATAATTATGTATGCGTTTGTTTGCTTATGAATTCTGCAGATATGTGTTTTTGTGGTAGGTTAACAGCCATATTAATTATAGTCTTAGATTAATCTTCTGAAATGAGGTGTAGTTGATTGTGTGGAAGGTTGAATTCATGTGTTTTTCCTGTTATTTCGTGTTTTATGTGTGCGTATGAACTCCGCATATGTGTTTTTTGTGGTAGGTTAATGGACTTGTTTATTGTAGTCTAAGATCAATCTTCTGAAATGAGGTGTAGTTGATTGCGTGTAAGGTTAAATTCATGTGTTTTTGCAGTTCTTAGTAACTTGAAACTGAATGAAAATATGTTCTTTTTGTTTTTGTTTTTCTTTTCGATTAATTGGTTACTGAATGACAGTATTGATTTTCTTCCATTGAGTTTTTTTGCATCAATTGAGACATGGATCTGCTTGGGATATATTCCTCATATATTTCTTAATTCCCAAAGTGTCTTGAGTTTCTTGTTGTTCTTTTTTGAGTTTTCGGTTGTTTTGGTAATTTGCTAAGGGTTTATTTATGGCGGTGTAAAGGGATAGGTTACTTAAAGCTAATTAGTGGTAAGTGTCTATAGTAATTAGTAAGTTGAAAAATAAGGTAAGTGACCTGCTATAGGACAAACTATATTGATAGTGTAGCTAGTTTTAACTTTTTTAATTTAATGGTGGTGTCTGGGCTGCCCACATTCCAGGTGGTCAAAGTGGGCAAGCAAAAAAAAGCCAAATCTCCATATAAAACCCCCAAAAGGCCCAGATAAAACAATCTTCACTCAAACGAATCCTTCTCTCTCTCTCTCTCTGCTCTTTCCTCCAGACGACCTCTCCGTGTTTTATCGCCAAAGGTATGATTTTCTCCATTTTTGTTCCCTTCGCAATCTTCGCCGAAGCTTTTTTTTTCTTTCTTCTTTCCATGCTATAATTATGTATGCTTTTTGTGTGCGTATGAACTCCGCAGATATGTGTTTTTTTGAGGTAGATCAATCTCTTATGAAATGAGGCGTAGTTGATTGTGTGAAAGGTTAATTTCATGTGTTTTTCCTATTTATCGGTGATTTTTTCATGCTATAATTATGTATGATTTGGTGTGCATATGGACTCTGCAGATGTGTTTTTGTGGTAGGTTAACAGCCATATTAATGATAATCTTGGATCAATCTTATGAAACGAGGTGTAGTTGATTTGTGGAAGGTTGAATTCATGTTCTTTTCCTGTTATCTCATGAGTTTTGTGTGCGTATGAACTCCACATATATGTTTTTTTGTGGTAGGTTAACGGACATATTAAATTATAGTCCAAAATCAATCTTCTGAAATTCGTGTGTTTTTGCAGTTTTTAGAAACTTGAAACTGAATAAAAATATGCTCCTTTTGTTTTTGTTTTTGTTTTTGTTTTTCTTCGATTCGTTGGTTACTGAATGACAGTATTGTTTTTCTTCCATTGAGTTTTTTTGCATCAATTGAGGCATTGATCTGCTTGGGATATTCCTCCTAATATTTCTTAATTCCCAAGCCTTGAGTTTCTTTTTGGTTTTTATTGAGTTTTCAGCTGTTTTGGTGATTTTCTAAGCGTTTATTTATGGTGGTGTAAAGGAATAGGTTATTTAAAGCTAATTATTGGTAATTGGTAAGTGTCTATAGTAATTAGTAAGTTGAAAATTAAGGTAAGTGACCTGCTATAGGATAACATATATTGATAGTGTAGCTAGTTTGAACTTTTTTTGACCCCCACACCTCAACTATTCCTTTGTGAACTTGCTACCTCTTACCAACACAAAATAATTTTAACAATGTTAGTGTTTATAATTTTAATCCATTTATAAATATGGATTACTAGTGAA